AGCAAAGGGTCTGAATATTTAGGACCATGTGATATTTCAGTTTTTCTTTTTTAATAAATCTGCAAAAATGTCAACAATTCTGTGTTTTTCTGTCAATATGGGGTGCTGTGTGTACATTAATGAGGAAAAAAATGAACTTAAATGATTTTAGCAAATGGCTGCAATATAACAAAGAGTGAAAAATTTAAGGGGGTCTGAATACTTTCCGTACCCACTGTATATGAAGCTTAAAGGCTGCCTTTGTATTTTAGGAAGGGGACCGTCAAATTTGAGAACCTGGAAAAGCCTAACATTATGTCTGGGTTGTGTTTGATTTCTGGTCTGAATACCGCATAAGAACAGTATAAATATAAAGCATACAAAATGTAGAATAATTTATAAAAACTGTATAAATATAAAGCACATTTTCCTTTCCAGAAACTAGTGTGGTCCATTGTCATTGTTGGTTTATTCAAATGAGTCAAAGGCATAATATTAGAACTGACACAAAAAATATTACTGCATATATCAAGTAATCTTTCAGAAATGTCCTCAAAAATTTCACCAACTGCCTAAAATATCACTGAATGTAACATTTTCATATAATCCTTCAAAATAGAACCTACTCTTTTCAGGTCAACCCAAATTATTGGACATCTTTATGCAGACATTGTTCATTATCTACAGAGCTTTCATGTCCCAACGAGAATTAAGGGCATATGTATAGACTGTCCCTGCACATGCAGATGTATCAGACAGAGAAGCTGGAATACAACGTGTCAGGATTCCATACTTTATATAGGACAGGCAGTAAAGTAATCATTCTTACAACAATCAGTTTTGTTTCAGTATTTTGTGTTTTCTCCAAATGAAAGCAGGTTGTAAAGTCTCTCAGGAGCTTCAGTGTTCTAGACGTCGTAGAACAGACGCACAAGATGATACCGGATTCCAAACGTCACGGCACTCCCCAAGACCTGAGAAAGATAATTATATTATTTCAATCCATCCAAACCTCAGTTTCCTTTGAAGAACCAGGATTTACACTATATTTGAAAACCTGCACACATGAGGTAGTCTAATTCTGAAATGTGATTTCAACACCTGGAAAGGTCATGTAAATTAATCAAATCTTAAAAAGACATGGGCATTTTTATAATGAATATACATTTTTGCTAGTTATGCCAATCTCTAAAGTATTTTATCAGGTAGAAATTGTATAGACACAGAGAGAAAATCCCTACCTTTAAAACAGGAAAAGAGTGGAAACCCTGAAGAACAATCAACTCATAAAACTTTTTTTTTTTTTAATTTACAGAAACTAGGAGTGCGAGAACCACTGTCAGATAGGACTTATGATAATGATCAAAAAGATGCTTCCTCGTACATTAGCGAGGATGTAATGCCAAATATCACAACCTTCTTTATTGTTTCAAACCACTTTGAATTGAAATAACCATAGTTTAGCACATTAGCTCTCAACTCTGTAATAAATTCAAGGGATTCACCTGTATTAACAGCATGATTGCAGTCAGGTTTCTCTCGTGGGTAGGTCCCAGCACTTTTAGTACCAGGTTGATAAGGGTCATGTTGTTACACTCAATAAACTCATCATCTCCTTCCTGCCCTCTACGCACATCCAGGAGCCATAACATTTCTGCCACCTGCAGGATAAAAGAGGAAATCACATTCAAACACAGAGGGAATACCAAATAGGAAATGCTCCTGGCTCTTTTGTTGCAGAAGTATCATTCTTTTTAAACAAACATTCCTAAACCTATTTCTAATGATAAATACTTACAGTGGCATGTGTGTGTTTACCTCCAGAATAAGTTGTCCTAATTTGCCCAGGTCCTTCTGTTTGAACTTGGAGTAGCTCATGCCAAGCTTTCCCGTGTCAGACTGTAACCTGCATTAATCAGTTTTAGAGGTCAAGCTCTCATCTCACAACCATCTCATAACCAAAGAGTTTAACACTTTAAATGCCCACTTTCAATGACTGTCAAAATAAATTCTACTGCAAATAAAAAGGAATCTGTTATAGCTTGATTTTAAAATGTTAGTGTAATAACCCACCTAGGCAGGCGATGTCTGGGACAAGGAATAATGTGAAACAGCTGAGGCAGAGAGTAAATGAAGTTGATGACTTGAGGGATGAAGAAAAGCAGCATGGTCTTACTGAAGTGGCCGAGAATCCCAACTACCGCAAACGTCATTCCAGCAAAGTAACAGAAAGTGTCTCCCACAAACACAGAGGAAGGATACCTGATATGAGATATTCAAAGGTGTATTATTTATTCAAATACAGGAGTGGTTGAGGTTGAGATTATTAACAGCACTGCTTGTCAAACTTAGTTTATAGAGTCCAGTATTTAAATTGGCCTGTCTTAAACTAAAGTAAGTACAGATGATCAAATAGCAATAGTTTTAACACACCAGTTGTGGTAGAAGAGGGCTAATGTGGTGAAGAAAAAGGGAATCATGAAGTACAAAGAGAAAACATGGTCATCCCTGTAGTCTCCTGAAAGAGAAACGTCAATCAGAGATCAATTGAACAATGTAAGTTTGAGAATATAGCTAAAGACTTAAATAAAAATCAAGCAGTGTCAGAGAGGTTTAAAGAAATTTAGGATCATGTGACACTGAAGACTGCAGTAATGGCTTCTGAGAATTGAGTTTCGCCCATCACAGGAATAAATTACATTCAAAATACATTAAAATAAAAACAGTTATTTTACAATATTAATGTATTTAACTGATCAAATACATAACACACTTTGTGAGCTATTATTTCAAACTTTTGAACAGTATTGTACATAGAAATTATAGAAATTATGCATATTTTAAGAGCTTACAAAGAAATTTGAATCTAGGTGGAAAATTAGCTAAAACAGGTTGAATGTAAACCCTCCTCTCACCATTCAGCTCCA